TCCAATTAGAATGCTGTTGGCTTCCCACAGGATGTAAGTGCCTGTTGGGATATCTTGCCATTCAGTCATTGTTGTCTGTAAGGCATTACAACTGGGTAGGACAATTGGTTGTTTTTCTCCCTTGGCAAGGTGCGTGTCTCTTTCGAGTACTACAAGAGCTAATCCCTAGGGAGAGGCTTGCAGGTAATTTCTGGCCCCATTTCTCAAAATCCTATGTCCTCAGTGTGGTGTCTTCAGCAATAGAGTCTTAACCTCAATTTCTGGCAGGCAACCAAGGGCAGCAGCAGTAGCCTGTATTGTCATAGTTTAACTGCAATCATCATCATGAGAGTCTCAGGTATTTCATTCATACAGAGATGATTCCCTGTAGAGATTAATAAGACACTTAAAAATCAAAGACAAGGAAAGATTTCTTTTAATGGTCTCTTTAAGAGAGCAACAGACTTACACCCCTGCAGGTGACTTAAGCAAGATGTTAATCACAGCTCTAAAACTGCATTTTTAATGATAAGACAGGTCATGCTTACCTACCTATAAAATGCCCAACATCACTAACATGCAGTGGTTTAAAGTGCAAAAAGGCTTTGGCATGTTGCTCAAGGTCATGGATAAATTTTCTGTTTCATCAACCCATGGTCATTATCATGAAGCAATATCTGAAATGAAATTTCACTTAGGGACATTTTAGTAGCCCAAGTAAGCAAATCATTGAATTCTGTAAATTCATTTTCAGAAGTCATTAAAAAATACATATGGATAGTGAAATCTGATAAATTCAGTTTGGAGACTTGACTATAACATGAAATAATGTAGGCTTACTTTCTCACATGAAAATTTTTTTTAGGTGAACTCTACGTATATAAATTTCATTTATCAAGAAGTATACCTAATGCTTATCAGTGAAAGCCCATTTCTGCTGGTTTGAGTAATATAAAGAAACAAGAAACTTGTCTCTGGAAGATTATATAGTTTTTTTTTTTTTTTTAGGAAACATGAAATACCAAGAGATAAATGCAATATTAATTACATATGCTTACATATGCCAATAAGTCACATAGTCACCACAGGAGCACATACACTGATACATGCAGTGTGTGTAGATGCACACAGAGACACCCTTCTACATAGAGTTACACACAAGTATATACACATACACTCTACACGTGCCCCAATTGCCAAGCCTTTGTGCTTATTCTTATTGATGCTACACTCAGTGTGACTTTCTTGATTTCTGAGTTGCTTGTGGCCTCACCAGATGCTTATCCCTCCTTGTCTGAAACTGTGCACCTTATGAATTACCAAGATGATTTTTCTTACCAGACCTTTCATCATATTACTACAGCTCTCTACAGATTCTATCTGGACTGTTACTTGTTGACACCCTTGCTGGTCTGTAGACCACTGGACTCGGGGTTCTCCTAATCTAATCTGTGTCCCTCCTAGATTGTGTTGCTCATTGTCACTATGGCCAGAGCTCTCAGAGCCTATAAAGGATATCTCATGTACTGCTGCTCAGAGGGTAGAAATATTAAGTCTCTTCTTCCTGCAGAGCTATGGCTTTAAGATGTATCCACCCTGAACTTCACTCAGTCCTTCCATTTCTAGTCATCAACTAATGTCTGTTTGAAAACTGTGTATGTGTATCAGTTAATCATATTTAAAAAAATAGTGACATTGGGGCCAGCAAGATGGCTCAGTGTGTAGGGGTGTCTGACATCAAGCCTGAGGAGCCAAGTGGTTCCTCTGGGACCCACATGGTAGAAAGAAAGAACCAACTCTTACAAGTTGTCCTTTGACTTCTGCACACATGCCCTGACATGCACAACCTATACACATAAACACAATAAAAATAAAAATGTTAAATGTAAAAAATTAGAACCATTGATTGGTGCAATCTAATTTTTCCTTTGGTGGTGGGTATACATATATGTGCCATACCTTCTGCTAAAAATGAGGATGAGTTTGGAATTCTTTTATTTTATTACACATAAACATTTTAAAACACGTTGGTGTACCCAAGGCACATTCTTTTAAATTTTGGTGATTTGCTTTCTTTCATTTGTGTCTTAGAGATCTCTAACAGATTTCTGTTATTCATCAAATGAATTCTTACTCCATAAGCCTGTATTTCAGAGTCCTGTATCAGCTCACTCTGAAGTTATGCCACAAATCTCAGCCACTTGGTGCTGCTTTATGGTGCTGGTCTCCATAGCTCATGTCTAGCTGGGTTTTGGTTCCAGGTCTTTCCTTACTGTGTCCACTTCATCCATCCCGCTTTCAAGCTTCCTCATTTCCCAAGGTCTCCCTCGTGGGTCTGTTCTTGAGTCATTAGTTCTATTGTTTCACCTTTTTGTTCTTATATCATATAGTCTTATGGTTTGCGTTAGGTAAACAGGTGTTCTGGAAACAAGCCTGACATCAGGAGAGCTAGACTGTGACTGGAGAATACCTGTGATGACTGTGTGAAGAAGTTTCATTTTCAGAAGATATTTGGAAAGGAGCCTTGCATACATAACTTCTTTCTGCTTTCTTCTTTTTCTACTTTACTGAATGTTTTTTGCCACCCACAAGTCAAAGGAGAAACCGCATTCCCATTTCTTAGCCTGAAAGAGATTTGCAAAGAACGTTAGGTAAAATTCCAGAATTGAGTTTGCTTAGAGTCTAGCATTCCATTTATCTTCTTTCTCTCTTGTTCTTCTCATGTTGCTTCTGCCTCATCTCCTCAAGGCACATGTGTATTTTCACTATGCTGGTGACATTTCCTCCCCTCCTAACCTGGCTCTCTCAGTTTAACTGTGTTCACTTGTACTGTCTTGTGGCCCCTCCCAGTAGTTTCACTCAGTACCATCTGCTGTTGCATCTCTTATATTTTCCTTTATTATTATTTTTTCTCTTTTGGTTCTTTGAGACAGGGTTTCTCTGTGTAGCTTTGACTGTCCTGGAACTCACTCTGTAGACAAGGCTGGCCTCGAACTCACAGAGATCTGCCTGCCTCTGCCTCCTGAGTGCTGGGATTAAAAGCGTGCACCACCACTGCTTGGCTTTGGGGCATCTCCTATATTTTTGAGTACGGTATATGATCCTGTCTTTTAAAGTTCTCATGCTTGCATGGATTAAGCACATTAGTGATTAACTCCAATAATGCACCATTGTTTCACTAAGGAAAGACAGACAGCAACTTCCTTTTGAAATCATTTAACCAAAAGCAAATTCAGGTTTGAACTATCTGCTTCACGTTCACTGTGTGTTCCATCCTCCATCTGTCTGTTGTAGGAGTCTGAATCAGTGCCTGCCTGAAGGCTGTCTGTCTGTGTTTGTCGGTTTTGTCTGGGTGTGTCTGTGTTCTGTCTGTGTCTTCTGTCTTTGTGTTTCTGTCCCTAACAAAGGGCGTCACTCTGTATTTGTTGACCAGCACAGAAACCATCACACAAGGAAGGAATAGGACACCTTGCAGAAATCTCTAACAGAGTTTTACAATGATTAAGTCAGCTGGCTCCAGCTGATCTCAACTGGCCAGACAACAATCGGTACTACAAACAGCACTGTTTGTCAAGCAATATCCAAAACTAGTTGCATTCAGCATGTATGGTGGATATTCATTTTAGAGAATTGAGTTCAATCTCTGTATTTGCTGCTTTCAGCCAATGATACACATGCATTATTCTGGGTCAGGGGTATACCAGAGTATATAATTTAAGATTACAGCTATGCATTAACTTAAATTGTAAAAGTTGATTATATGGAAAACTCAAGGCAAGTAAGGTTGATTGTTACATTGTTCTCCTAAAAGTGGGTTAAATGAACAGGCTGAGTGCACAGTAGGACAGCAGTCTTAAGTGACCTCAAGGTATATTATCAACTCTGACTTTGAGGTCCAGGGAAAGTTTTAGTTCCTTAGAATGTAGAAGATATTTTCCTCACATTGCATCAACACACATGCTGACAACATTTTCTATTATGAAAATGTGAAGATATGTGTAAAGGTAGAGACCATAATAAACATATCATATACTTGCCACAAGTTCATTTACCAAGATTTTGATATGCTTGTCTTTTAACATTTTAAAATTTTATGTGCATGAATGTGTTGTATGCATGTATATCTGTGCACAACATGCATGCCTTTTGCCTGTGGAGGCCAGCAGAGGACATTGATGCCCTAAACTGCAATTACAGATGTTGTGAGCTGCCATGTGGGTGCTGAGACTCGAACCTGGGTCCCCTAGATAAGCAGTCAGTGATCCTAACTGCTGAGCTCTTCAGTACTCAATATGCTCATCTTTTTTTTTTTTTTACATAAGTTTACCTTGATAAATTATTGTATTACATTCTATAACACTTGCCATTTTGTTTTTAATCTTGTCTGTTAATCATGGACTTAATGATTCTGTGGTATTCAGCTTCAACATTTAATTGTACATTGTCAAAGACAGAAGATGTAAGATAGAAATTAAAATTCAACAAATATATCTAATAAAACCTCTACATGGACTGTGCACAAGTTACAATTTGCTAAACAAGCGTTGTGTAGAAATTGCTGCATAATTATTATTTCAGTTATAGTGAATCCCCAAAATGGAAATTAATTATTTTATTTGTACTTTTTAATAATTAAAATATGATTATGTGGGTCATTAACAATCTTCTGGGTAGTCAGCAAGGAGAATTATTTCTTGGGAGTTTCTTTTTACCTTATGCTGTTTCCTTCATGCAGTCTTTAATGTGTGTTTTTGAGTGGCTGGACAGAGACACAAAAGCAATAGGAACTTTCTTGGTAGACAATAATAGTAGATAGAGAACCAAGAACCACATGTTGCTGCCAGCTGTAGCTGACTGTTTGATGAAATAGGACAGCTTAGTACTATGAGCTTTAAATGTGTCTAAAAGGTTAATCATTTTCATACCTCTCATGAATAACTAATCTCTTTTACAGGGTGTTGTTCACAAGTGAAATTCTCTAATTAATTTCCCCCTGATTGCTTTGTTTTCTCTTCCTCTAGCTCTTGTAAATGTGAAACTCTGGGCCATTGATCGACAATGTTTTCAAACGATAATGATGAGGACGGGACTCATCAAGCATACCGAGTACATGGAGTTTTTAAAAAGGTAGGACACTTGTTTTTTCTTGAAACGCAGCTTTGTGTGTTTTGTGGATGTGAGTGTGCAAGTGTGTGCATGCACCTTTATCTCAGTATTAATTGCCTATCAATTTGTGGAAGGGCCAGACTTTGGGTAAGCCTTGTTATATTTCTGCTACTGGTTCTCAGGATGTGTGGTTAAGTCAGGACATCCACATTGTATCCATTATCCTCAGACATGCAGAATTTTCTCAGAGACACAAATGAGAATTCACCTGAGCAGGAAAGGATGTTCATTCTCACAATCTTGTAGTTAATGTGTTTACACTGCTTCCTCTAACCAGACCGCAGAGCCTCACCAAGCTGTCCCCCTGTGGGTCTCCATAGAAAAAGCAACACAGCTAAAGAAGAGACATTCCACAAGGCAGCTTGTTAGCCTGGAATCCTGAGATTAATTTCCAAAATTCATTCATTTCCAGTTCCTTTTTTTATTCATAAATTATTGTGATAACTCAATATAGGAAGATTTAAATAGAAAACGTACTTCTCATTTCTTAGAAAAACACTGATATCACTGTCATTAAACTTTAACATATATATGTTATTTTTAGCATATATACAAAATTTTGTTTGAAAGGAACACTGGCAATTCTAGTGATTTTAAAATATTTTGCATTGTGGTCTAGGGGATGGCTGAGTGGCTGAGCATGCTTACTGAACAAACTTGAGGACATAGAAGAATGCTAGGCATGGACATGTGCATGTCTGCAACCCTAGCATGGTGGGGGACAGAGCTGAGATGGACCTATTGCTTGCTGTCTAATCAGCCAGTCTAACTAAAATGGCAAGCCACAGGTTCAGTAAGAGACCTTGTTTCCAGATAGGGAGAGGGATAGAGCAGGACACCTGATGCCCTTCTCTTGCTGGCGTGCATGTGCACACCCACACAGATGTGTGCATACACACACATAAACACACACACACATACCCTGTGCATCCACAGCCACACATTCACAATTTTTTTTTATTTTCTTTTATTTTTTTTGGTTTTTCGAGACAGGTTTTCTCTGTGTATCTTTGCACCTTTCCTGGACCTCACTCTGTAGCCCAGGTGGGCCTCAAACTCACAGAGATCCGCCTGCCTATGCCTCCCGAGTGCTGGGATTAAAGGCATGTGCCACCACTGCCCGGCCACATCCACAGTTTGTATCATTTTATTTTTGAAAACTAAAGCATTATTCAATAGCAATGTGCAGTTTATGTGAAGCAAGGCAGGTGCACACCAAGGTTTCCTTTCTGAGGGCTAGAACTTGTTGTTTCCACAGTTTCACTTTGTGTGAACAAGTGGTTAAAGTGGAGTTAACAAGTCAAGTTCACATTTTATTTCAGTAATATATCTTCACAGAGATCTACTGAGGTTTCTTAAAATACAATTTTAATGTCCCTTACTTGGGTATTTCTGTTAATTAATTTTGTTTCTGCTTCATCTTTTATACATTTTTCATTTCCACATGAAATCTTTTTGTTATATTCCTGCTGAAGGGACAATAAAATTCTAATTTGATATCAAGTAATAATATATTAAAATAGTTCAATGTCAGCAGGGTGTTTTCGTTTCCCCTTGGTGTGATTAGATGAGGAGAGGTGGAATATAAATTTCTTTTGAAGTTCAGTATAGTTTGAAAGGAAATTAAATTACTGAGATGCCATATTTATGTGGGAGGATATATATGTGTTCACTAGTGTGTGTGTGTGTGTGTGTGTGTGTGTGTGTGTGTGTGTGTGTATGTGTGTGTGTGTGTGTGTGTGTGTGTGTATTGAAAGACTGAGAGAAAGATAAAGAATGCATATTCATTGTAAGCCTTAAAGTGCAAAGCTATTGATCTGAAAACACTGATGAAAACTCAATTGGTAATCAATGAAATGCTCGTGTGGGGGCTGGGGCTTGCCATTTGTGTGGAATCTCTCAGCTTGAGTTCTCAAGATGTTGATTTTAGCTTCCATGAATTTGTAATCTCAAGGAGTGGGCCAAGTGGCAATCAAAGGCTCTTTCAGGTGATTCCAGGAAGATCTCCTTTTCTACTGGCACTGTTTTAGGAGGTGTGTGTGTGTGTGTGTGTGTGTGTGTGTGTGTGTGTGTGTGTAATTAGAGCCGCCTTAGTCTTACAATCTGTTTTGACACTGAATATTAATGGTTCTCTAGAATGAGTGATTTCTGTTGTCGTTAGTTAGCTTAGGGCAAGCAGAAATGACAGGTAGGATGAAAGAGAAGCAGGCACTACTACCTTTGATGTCACTTCGCATTTGGCCACTGTGCAAAAACAATTTCTCACTGTTTGTTAAATAGCACAGGGCTGCCGAGAACCTAGAGAGTAGGCAGGGTGGCCATCCGTGTGTGCTTTAATCTTCAGAAATGGTGACTGTGATTTGGTGGTTCCATCTCTACAGTCTTTTAGTGGCTCACAGTTAGGTTATTGATAGTCTCATTGGCTGGGTGTTCTAAGCACGTATCCACCAACAGCTGACTAGTTTTCTTGGCCTGGGTTCTTGAGATAACACACACTGAGTGATTCCCTGTGACCAGGAGCCTATTTCCAGGTTTTCCTACAGCACACTCATCTCTGTCTTTCCTCCCAGCTGTCATTGGTTACGTCTTTTTTCTTCATTTGAATCCAATTAAAAGCTTTCTTTGCCACTGATGTTGATCTCAACCATGGAGCTGTCGTCTCTGAAGTTTCACCTCTATTGTGCAATTTACTGCCCACTTTCTTTGATTATAATTCTCTTACTATTCTTATTCCTACTTCTGAGCTATAAACTTTTTAGTACAAAGGATATTTCTTAAGCATTTTATTGTTTTTCTTTGGCATTACTTTGCGGATAGTTTACCTTTCATTACACACTTTTCAAGGTTCATTGCAAATATTAATACAGGCTTCTATCTTTCAAAAATTGTCTAAAATTCATGATGACAGCACAATATTAAATCAAGAATGGGTTCCTAATGAGTGCAAACCCTTTGCTATGGTACAGGTCACATGCCCACGAAGCTCAAATAGTAAAAAATATTCAACCTTCCTACACGTTCCCAGGACAATTATTTTTGGTACCATTGATGTTTTGGGGGCTTTTAAAAGAGGGTGTAACAGGGCTAGAGAATGGCTCAGCAGTTAAGAGCACTGGCTGCTCTTCTAGAGGACCCAAGTTCAACTCCCCAAACCCATAATGGTGGCTTACAAACATCTACGTCTCTAGTCTTGGAGGAGTTGATGCCCTCTTCTGGACTCCCCAGTCGCTGCATGAATGTGGTGCACAGACAGACATGCAGACAAAACATCTCTACACATAAAATAAAAGTAAATTAAAGTAGAAGAAGGGCATAACAACACCCACGGGAAATGATGAAAAGTCTTGCTAAAATGTAGAATTCTAAAATCAATTAAAATTTTATACTATGAATTTAGAATCACTTATTATCCTATTTGTTATTTTTAAAGCACATTTACTTGCTGCTCATTTGTATAATGTAAAACATTAAAGTTTTGCATGGTAAACTCAATCTAATGTTTTCTTTATGACTTCATGTTGAGAAAGGGTTACCTAGCTTAATATTATAAAAAGATGAAATAGTTTAAAGGTCTCTTTAGTGCTCTGTAGCAGGTGTGGGGGCATATTTCTCTCTGTGCCTGCCAAATAAAAATTATATCTGAAGTTATCTACTATTGATAAAGAGGCAAAGCAATTGTGACGTTGTTTGAAAAAAGTTTAGGAAATGATAGTATAATAATATTATGATGTACTAATGTGATGACAGTTCTCAGTGGGAGTCTCATTTCACATCCTAGCACCTTCATAAGGAAGGAATGTCAGGAGTGGCAGGGTTGAAAAGGAGTAAGTCTGTGTCAGGGCCATCTCCTTTTGTTATTTGCCCTCTTTGTTTTCCTAAATAAGCCCACACATTTGGAGATGAACACACTGGTGTGAACTCAAAGCACAACTCTCACCTCGAAGGCAATAGGAGATAGTTTTTTCTGAGGCAGGGTGGGTGGCACACACACTCGTGAGACAGAGCCAGGCAGATTTCTGAGTTCCAGGCTAGCCAGGACTATATAGTGAGACTCTGCCTCAAAAACAAAAACAAAAATAAAATTGTCCCAAATCCCGTGTTCTGATGTGGGAAGATTGTTGCAAGTTTTTCAGTTGCAGAACAAGAAGCTATCAATCAAAGCACTACTTTTCAAATACATTGGTAGAAACATCAAACAGGTAGGTTACAGCAACTCCAGGAAATCCCTACCATAGATTGTCTGATGACATCCTCAGTTTCTAGGTTGGTGGAAACTGATGCTTTATTAAGTTACTACATCCCCCAATTTCTGCCTCATAGTCACAGCGATGCTGGGTCAGACCTAGCTAGAGGTAGGCATTGAGTGGTTACTAAGGGAGTAAACATAACACTAGGTAATTTGGCTGTTTTTGGTTCTGCAACACTCCAGTTGTCAATGTTGCCCTTGTAGACTCTTTAACACAGGTATAGAATTTTCTTTGATAACTTCAGTTCATGCAAGGCACACACACACACACACACACACACACACACACACACACACACACACACACGGCTAGTAGTTATATTAGTAGAGAGTGTTTCCTTTTTGTCAAATTTGGGTTTTATTTTGATTTCAGTGTATTTATCTATTTTGTAACTATTGTTCATACAGTTTGGCCCCCTCTTTGCTGTTCAATGCCACATCAGACTGTGATTCTGGAGTTTTATTTAGTTATTTCTGTTCTGTGCCTGTGTTACACATTCTCTGATGTAAACACAGATGTTACTCTGCAAGCATAACACAAAGTAAGTAAAATAAAGTGACTAATAGGGAATGAAAATAGCTCAAGGGGCAGTGCTAGGAAGCATGGCATGATGGCTGTCTGTCAAACAGTTTCTCTGCCATTTGCCGTGGCTTCTAGAAAATGAGCCAAATAACTTCCATAGTTAATTTAAACTGTTTCTCTCGAAGCATATCT